TTTTGCAAAAAGAAACGTTCTTGAAAATATGGCCGCCGTTTAGATGTGACCGCTATTAGAGATTCGACTAATTAATATCGATAATTTATTATATAAAATAATTTAATTTCCAATCCAGTTTAAATAGTTTAATAAGACAGTTTATACTAAGCTCGATTTAAAATTAATATCAAATATTTTATGTTAATTTAATGCACGATTCTCAACCTTTACTTTTTATTCTTTTTCGGTTCATATAAATGCACGTGATTAGGGGGATGGCGAACTACTGGTTAAGAAATTCAATTTAATTAACTGAAAAATATGTTTTTTTTTTATGTCTTTAAAGTATCAACAATCTCTGCTTTATTATTAATTATTTTGATAATAACAGAACTTTGTAGAAGTAAATAAATCTTAAGTTGTAAAGTAGAAAATATATTACTTAATTTATATTAATTTGTGTTTATAAACAATTTAATCCAACTCTTCTCAACTTTTCATTTGCGATTCTGTTTCAGAATATAAATGTTTATCTGAGGGATCGCGAACTACTTGTTGAGAATCTTACATTTAAAAATCTTTTCTTTTAATATGAACTACTTGATAATAACAGAATTTTTATGTAATAAAAACGTCATAACTGATCTATTGATAGAAGACAATAAAAGTAGAACATGTAATTCTAATTATTTTATATTAATTTATGTTTATACAAGTTAATACGCTTTTCAACCTTTACTTTGTGATTCCATTTTTGCATTAAAAATAGACTCCGGCCGAGCGATCGCGAACTACTGATTGAGAAAATAATTTAATTCATCTAAAACATTTCTTAATATTTAATTTCTTAATATTTAAAATAAGACTTACTTTATAACTTGTAATAACTAGAAAATATTTTAACATTTCATAACATACAATTAATAAATTTCCTTCCAAATAAAAAAAAAATTCTTTAATGTAATTTTATTAAATTTCCAATACGAAAAGATCATTTTACACAATTTCTTGACACTTTAAATTATCAAACTGATGAGAAAAAAATCGACTTAAACTTTATTTAAATGATTATTTTCAATATATAAAATTCGAATTGTCACAATCTTAATTTACAATTCAAAAATCGATTGTATAAATAAAATATTTTTCCAATTTTTTTTTTCTATTCAATTCTATAAATTCGTATGTTAAAAAATGAGAAAAGATCAGGCATTATAAAACGTCTTTTAACTGATGGTTTGGGTGATTTTTATAAAAATCTCCCCCGAGATCTAAACAATTTTCAAAAAACCATTGTCTTTAGGGAATTGAACTAGGACAATCAATTTAGAGTTCGGCGTTAAATTTTTTACAAAGTAAAATCTACTTTATTGATATTTTTTGATGTTGATATTTGTCATGCTTCATACTTATTTTAATAAAAATGTTTTCCTAAATGTTCCTTCTTTGATTTAAATTTTGGTTTTCTGACCAAAAAAGAACATTTATTTTTCCATAATTTTTCGTGTAGAAACGTGAAATAATCATTTTAAAATGTCGAATTATAAAGTGTTTTAATTAAATTATAATTTATACTAACGTGCAAGAAATAGGAAGTTCGTCTGTATGTTTGTACGGAAGTTTTAATGAAATATATTCAAGATATCAATTTTTTAATGGTTCTTATATTATTATACACTGTCTTATAAGGTTCCGAAGAGGATCTATCACCTAAAAGCATTTAGATTAGTATAAAAGAGGGTTTGATTCGATAAATTATAATGAAATGTATTTGCTGAAATCCATAAAAGTGACGACAACCGAATAGACGAAGAAAAATTTATTAATTTGTTCTATGTAATTATATTTTATATGTTTTAAGTTATGTTACACATAACTTACATATAATTGCACATATACATAATATGATGATAACGTAATTCTGAATCATATTTATGAAGTAGCTTCTTAAAGTATAGTTTTATATACTTTTTAAACAGGAAAAAACGTTTGTTTTACACACAAAACAGTCCTTCACAAAGGAATCACAGCATAGGACAATATAAACGTGAGGTTCTTCCTTTCACTTTCTACCACTTGAAAAAAAGAGTTCAACATTTACTGAAAGACTACATTTTGTGTGCGAAGGATGTAGTCCTTTTTGAAGATATTGAGTTGTTAAGTAAGTTAAAATTCGTGATATGATATCCGTAGAAAGTATTGATGATACCGGAAAGATTTATTGGGATTATACAGTTTATTGTCACTAAATCCCAGAAAGGTAGACAGCAAATCTGTTATTGATTGTATATTTGTAAAATTCGATGTCATACGAAAGTATTGTATTTTACAAATAATCGATAATAGATTACCGAAGCTCCTATCTGGAATTTTGTTACAACATTCTTAATATTCTTACTTGTAATCTTCTTGCAGAATCTACGTCGTACATCACGTTGAATAAATGGCATTTCTATATCAAATTTGATACTCGGATTTATGGAATTTTCAATTAACTCTTATCTTTAGGTCTGTTTTAAATTTCTTTAAAGAAAATTTAATATGTTTTTTTTTATATTTAAAAAAAGTTTATTATTCATTTTTAATCAGTTATTGTTATTTTAAAGACTGTCATATCGATCGTTACATTTTAATTTGGTATTATTAGTATCGATGGCTATTGATTTTGTATATCTTTTATCTTAATTATTAAAGAGTTAATCGAGAATATTTATTTTTATATTTCAATAATTATATAATTTTCTATCAATGTTAAGGTATCGCATCAAACTCAGCTGCATTGGACTATCAATAAATACGTCTATAGAATCTTTTTAAGAAAAATGAAATCCCTTACACTATTTTTTCTTTTAAGAATGGGAAACTTGAGTGACCTAAATTCAGTATAACATGAAATTTTTGGCTATTTTTAATTGGAACTATCCTAACGTTACACAGGGTGGTCCAAAAGTCAGTTAATCATTTAATCATTGTAAAGAAGAAATTTTAATTAACTGAATCAAATTTTAAAAAACGGAGTTAATTTAATTGCATTTTTTTGTGTTTTCTGCCAATTTTGCTAAAAAAAGCAATTATTCGGAATTCAGTTTACGATTGATAGTCACAAACGTATCCTTAATACACGATTTTGGCCAACTTAAGGATTCAGTGAGTTACTATAACTCTAAAAATTAATTAAAATTTTATCTCGTTAATTAATATAATTAATTTCTATTCTTAAAATTTTATTTTGTACTAAATTTGTTCTACGTAACACACATTCTATATTGTATCCTGTTAAAGTTTATAATTCCTAAAAAAATATAACTTATAGAGATTTACAGGGATTATATGATATTGATAGTATCATATAACCCCTATAATATAATATGATTATATAGTTATGTTATAGGAATATTGAATTATAATTTAGTATCTCAAATTCTTATAAGGATAATATATTTCTTAATGAACTATATTTTAAGAGACCTAAATTCTTCTAATGTCCTCTTAATTGAGATATAGTCCTTAACAAATTAGGGATTATATTTAAAATAAGTTACTTAACTATTACAATTATACGAATTTAGTTAATTTAGTTGTATAGTGTACATACAGAAAAATTCATCTTTTATTGTAATTATTACATATTAACATCAATTGTTATCGTCTTATGCAGTAAAATTATATTATTTTAAAGAGAATAACTGAATACAACAATAAATAATCTATTTTACTTTAATCTAATGATTTTTATATCCAGGATTCAGTTGAGATTGTACAAATAGTTTTCTAGGATTTCCTATTCTCAGTTGCATTCCTTTGATTATTTTTATATTTTCAATGATCACTTCACTTTACTTCGAAATCTTTAAATGTAGAAAGAATGTTCAATATTTTCCAAACAATTCAAGAGATTTTTCAAGTGGAAAATAATTTAAATTAAGTAAGTCTTGATAAATTTCTATACAAGTTTTATATAATTGGTGCAACTGTACGCATCATTTATGTTGAATTTATTTAAGACAAAATGACTAAAAATATAATTAAATTTTACAAAACATTTAGCATAATATCTTAAAAAAATGTATTGATAATGATACATTTTAATTGTAATTAGTAGCTTTTGAATTAATTATGAAACGACTCGTACCATTAACTCTCATTGCTGTTCTTTTATCTTCTTTGTAAGTTAGTTTTAATCTTACGATTTATCTTGTGCTTAATAGTAGAAGAAGATAATCTCAAGAAGCATGAGATTTAGGTTATTTTGGTTTTAAGGTAACTTTTTTCTTATTTTGCTAATGTTTGAAGAGAGTGAGAGATAAGTAGTTTTAGATAAATTCTATTCAAAAAATTTTGCAACGAGTTGCATAATTTTCTCAGTAATAATAAAAGTTTAAGACTGTAATTTTGTTGAATTGTGAGAAATTTCTTTATATAAAAGATAGTTATGTTTAATAAACATTAAGACACATGAGTACAAAGTTAAAATTGTATGTGACTTCTTCATCTGTTACGAGATTTTATTTAAAAATAGTTTTCATATTATTAATTCATTTATAAAGGCAAAATGCTTAATTTTAAGGATACTAGACAAGTAATTTAAAAAAATTGTAAATGCCAATAACGAGTGAAATCTTCATAAAGTACGACCTCACTCGAGATATGATATGTGACTTCTCTATCTTTCCATTCCCTAGATCTATAACCACCAAATTTTAATAGCATCGATGCCCCTTAAACACAAGCTACCGTGTCAAATTTCGTTTCTTAATCTTTACCCCATTTTGAGATACAAGGTATTAAACGAAACACATACAAATACATATCCATGAAATTTTTTCCATTTTTTAAAACTTTTCTTTCGGTTCAGGGGTCTCAAAATGTCGAAATTTGACACGATTACAATACTTTCCCGTGTTATATACGTAACAGTCAGGAAAGTAAAAATTATATTTAAGTTATAAGAAAAATTATACTTGTAAATTAATCAAGTGTTGCAGTTCTTAAAATAGTGTAAATTTTAACTATTGCAAACCTGTTTAAAATGCTTCAAAATCAACGTCGAAAGAGTTATTGTTGAAATTCTTCGACTTTAGAAGTTTGGCATAGACCTATTCAACAATTTCCTGTGTAATTAAACTGTTGATTTCTCTAAGAGATTGTATTTGAATAACGTAATAAACTTTTCTTATCTTTAACATATCATATTAAGTCGATAAATTTAAGTTAAATATGAATTTAAAATGAAACTCGATAGGTGAATCTCCAGTAAAGTATTTTAAAAAAATTATAAGATTTTTAACATAATTTTACTATGTTCATATAAAAGTTATAGAACCAATAATTTAAATACTTTATTCTTTACTAAATTTTATATATAAGTATGTATGTACTGTATTTTAATTTCTCTATACGGGCTTAAGTTTTCCCTAGGTTTTAAGCGTTTATTATCTTCACCGCTAGTGTTTATGTATATTTTTCTAAGGTAAAATATAAAACAATTTACAGTTATAGAAATAAACAAAATAATAATAGAATCTTACCATTTAAAATTTTATTTTTAAAATATTGTGATATTTGATAAAGTTAGAAAATAAATAAATAAATATTTCTTTATATTTTATTTATTGTTTTCTTCGGTATTAATAATTTCTTTAACAATATCCAATTTAAAATCTGAGTTTTTCAGTGAAAAGGTATACTTTCTGTTCAAATTGTTTCAAATTTAAAGTTTAAAAGATTTACTTTTACAAAAAAACATAAATTCTTCTAGCGATCGAATTTAAAAAAGTGATGAAAATACTTCCAATTTTCTTAATAATGTGTAATATTTTTAACTGTCTGTTGAACAAAATATATTTTCAAAGAATTTTTTCAACTATCAAATTTAGTTGTTTAATAAAAAAAATTGAAAATAATAATAATAATAATAAAAGAAAGATTATATTATCACACATCTCATCGATCTATCGCAAATATATACGTAAAGTTAAAGAAATAGTTTGTTGTTTAGAAAATTTTATATTATTTTTCTTATTTTCAAAAAAAAGTAATTCTATTTCAATTGTGGCTGAATAAATTTCGTTCTGTAATGATCGAATATTCTATTTTATTTTTTTCTTACTTTTTAATTTCTTCTTGTACGATAAATAATGTGATTTGAAATGATCCGAAGTGATTTTTAACAATAAGATTATGTTAAATACATTTAACAGGAAGAATTTGCAATGATAAATATTTAGCTCAAAATCATGCAAATTTAATCAAATTCGTTGCAAAAATTCACTATAATTTATTATACAGTAAGATAAAGTTAAATTGATTACCATGAAGAATCCAGAACTGGATCTCGAACCCGGATTCCAAACGATCAGTTCTATAATAAAATTTTTTTTTGTGAAATTTATGTATATGTTACTTAAATTTCGTAAAATATTCAAGGTAATGAAGATTAGTTCTTGATATAGAACGATTACAATAGAAATTCTGTAATACAATATTAGAATTTCATAAGGTGTTTTAATATTTAAAATTTTATTTTATAAAGTTTTTTTTATAAACTAAAAAAGGCATTGAAACTGAAGTACGTAGGTTTTTTTGGAAAATTTTATGCTTAATTGTATTTTATGGTATTATTTCATTTTAGTAATAGGGTTGGATTGATGGTGCGAGGCAATGCAACGTATAGGAGATTTGCCAAGGGGGTGACTTACTATGGAAACTAACACCTATTTATAGGTGATCTCGATTTTCTAACGCTAATAAACGTTGTATATTTTCTCAAATTGGTAGTTTGAGATAATTATGTAAACTATTTTAGTGTTATTAACGTGAAGAAATCCCGGAAAACCACGTAACCCTTTGATGGAGTTAAACAGGACAAACTCCTGGATTTACATAATACTGTATATACAGAAATTAACTATAGTATACAAGTTTATAGATTTTAATTAGAGATAAAATATTACTAAAAATAAATAAAAATAATATTTTAGACATACATTAAACTTTGAAATTTGTATTAAATTATAATTGTAATAATCATTATACATAGTGTAAGAATATTTTTCAAATATGGTTAGTAATTTTATTATATTAATAAATTTAATAATATCGTATTGAAAATAAATAACCGTAATTAATTATAGCTATATATATATATATATACA